TAGATGTGGTGCTTAGGGACATGGTTTAGTGGTGGACTTGACAGTGTTAGGTTAATGGTTGGACTGGGTGATGGTATTTTGCAACCTCAATGATTCTATGATTCTAAAGTCAACTTTAAAAACAGATAAATCTCCAGACTGTCCACATGGGCTTCAGCTATCCACAATGTCTGTTTCTAAAAAAGGGAGAGTTTTTTGAGACACAATCAAACTGAAAAATTTGCTTACTAACTTAGAGTGAGGAAACTGGGGAATGTGTAGATGTGACACAGTATTTTAGAACTATGATATTTACAGTGTATCACTTGAACTGTTATATTTCAGTTTTAGAAGAGGTCACACCTTATAATACTTTGTCAAATTCAGTTTCTCCAGCTATTTTTTTTTTTTAATTGACTTAATGCTTTTTTTTTATTTCTTTCTTCCCACTCTTTGAAGCTTATTCTCAGCCAGTGGATAACCATATCACTCCATCTGCCTACTTGGGACAGTCTCTGCCCCCAGCATCACCGGGCCGATACTCGCCAATTCCCAAGGGAATGCTTGGAGATGATGAGATTACCAGGTAATGAATAAGCAAAGCTACATGGCAAATCAGTTAACCAGTGAAGCTTATAAAATGTGTTTGTGGGCAAAATACTGGTGACTAGAATATTTTATTTCAAGAAATAAAAGCAAATCATTAGTTTCTTAACACTTGTAAACATTTATGTAAGGAGAAGACTACATATTTTTATGTATATACAGACACATATACACACACACACACAGAGCATTTATCAGCCCAGGAATACTATTAAAATCAGAATGCCCTGCCAAAGTGCTCCGAGAGTTGACAGAGCTTTTTAGGAGGGTAGTATGAGCAGACTAGAGATTATTTCTTATTGTGAAGCCAGCAATCTTTTTTCTTTTTTTTCCCCACAGATAAGGGTTTGTTTTGATGGATTAGTAAATCCAGAAAGGCTGGAGAGCTCTTAATCCTTTCCCATTAACAGACCATTCATTCCTTCACTGATTCAGTGGATTGTATTAATCTTTTGTTCATCATCACTGATAAAGGAAAGCTCTTGTAATTTTGTTACCCTTCTGCTCTGCAAGTATACGGATGTTATACTGCATTTTCAGAATGTTGTTACTGATTCTGTGTCAGAGCATCATCTGATATGGATAATGTCACTCAGTTTCTGAGGCAGGGTCCACCCAGGACTGAAACATAAGTGGTATAATAAATTGGAGAATTTATTTTAGTGTATGAGAAGGTAAGAGAGCCTTGGATATGTTTTCAGTTATTTTTAACTTAGGTGAACATATAAGCCAAAGTGATTCTGTCCTGCTGATAGTATTGCTTTCCTTTAAAATTACTGTTAAGGGAGGTTTTTGGATTTCTTCTGAAACGCAAGGGCTATTCAGAGAAGGCTTTAGGTGATTTTCTTTAAATTACCTTCCCATTTTCCACTCACTCTATCTCAAAAAGAGGCTTAGAAATTTTGAGTAATATTTTAAGATACTGTGTATTATGTTCTCTAACTGCAGCATTTTTGTTAATGCATTAGTGTGAGCCACAGCAATATACATAGGTTTTCACAATGTCATTTATTTGTAATAAAATAGTACTCTAAAAGGATGGGTATAACAGTTGATAGGAGATGAAATTGTAAGAATTTGACACCAAGTTGATTTAAGAGCTAATGCAAAAATGGAGTGATTTTAAAAGATTGGACTAGATGATATTTTTGTTTGTTTTGGAAAAATGCAGCTACTTAGTTTTTCCCTATAAATTAATAATTAATAACTCCAAATACTTAAGAACAGCCATTAATTGTTCTTTAGTGCTCTCTAGTGATTTTTCAAATGCAGTGCACAGTTGCTCTGCTTTATTAGAAAGATCTGTTTCTGAAATAATTTATGCCTTTCTTGTATTGGATCAAGTAGCAGACTGGTAGATTTTTGGAAGGACTGTTTTTTGCATTAGAAGTAGACTGGCCTGTCTTAACTTGATCAGTGTTTCTTCTTTCCTCTCCTCATCCAAGCCAGGCGGGGGTCCTATAAAAAGAATGCAACAACTTGGTTTGTTTAACTTTTTCAATTGCTGTTGCTGTCAATAAATTGCACATCTATTTGAGCATACCATAAATTCTGTTGGGTGTGGGTTTTTTTTCCGAAAGGGCTTATGCGTACTTCTTAAATTGTTCTTTGCTATATTTATTGTTTGACCAACTGAAATTAAAGCAGTAAGGACATATTTTTCATTATTGGTGTTTCTATTAGAATTTGTTCTTTAAGTTTCAGAGAGGGAAGATAGTACTTTTTTGCTCGCTATTACCATTAGGTAAAATAAGACTGTGAGCTATACTGAGGCTCTTGAACAATATGGGAAGTGTTAAGTAATGACATTTAGTGCTGAATAACATTGTAACATAATAGGAATTTATAGTATATACACACTTAGCAATTTTTGAGTGCACCTAACAACAAGCAGAATTGAAAGCATACAAATAATAGAAGCTATTATTTTCATAGTCTAAGCTTTGGTGGGGAGGACTGGGGGCAGAGGGTAGGACACACAGCATTGTTACCTTAAGAAATGCATAACTTTACCTAAATTTGCAACACTATCTCTCTGAAAAAACTTAGCTTTCTAATTGTTTATTTTACTTTTACTCATGACTAGTGACCAAGATCTCGTATTCCTTTCATTCAGGGAGCCTAGAAAGGTCGTCCTGCATCGAGGATCAACAGGTCTTGGCTTCAACATTGTTGGAGGAGAAGATGGAGAAGGAATTTTCATCTCTTTCATACTTGCAGGAGGGCCAGCTGACCTGAGTGGAGAGCTTAGGAAAGGAGATCGTATAATTTCTGTAGGATTCCTTGATTCTTTTATTTAAACAACAAAAGTTTTCCCCTCCCTGGATATTCATGCTAGCTAGTATGATTTATATGCAAAGAATATAATTAACTGAGCTAAATTTGAGTCAGTGGAACAGATTCCAAGATACTTCCAAAGTATCTTTGAGGACTTCAGCCTTGCCTCAGTTTATCTGTAATCTGATTACAATAGTGCTTTCCTGTCTCAGATACATATTTTTTTTTCAGTGAAGACATTAACTTACTGTAGTCTGGTAGCTGAGGTGTGCATGTATAAATTGAAAGAATGCAGGCTTCAGAAATAAGCTTTTAATGAGATGGAGACACTTGGCAGTAGTGTCTAAAACTGGGTGCTTCCTGGAGTAAGTATTAAACTCCCTGTTGTGTTAAACAGATTCATCTCATTACCTGCCTAAGGGCTTTTTCTCTTTAGTACTGAAGGTCATAAGATTTTGTGTGGTTTTGTGAAATAATTTATGGAGAATCATTTCTTTGGACAGTTACATTGTAATTTGGTAGTTATTTAAGAGGGAAAAATAATTTTGGCTTGGCTATTACTAAAATGCTGATATTGAAGTGCACCTTTATTTTAGTTTAAACTACAAGAACCACTTTTGGTCTAAAATGTGACACATGTTTTTGCAGATTTTAAAATGGTGTCAGAAAAAAAAAAGAAGCATTGAAAACAAGGCTAGACAATTTCATGGAGAGTGTGCTCTGGCACCAGGTGTTAAACATAATGGTCTGTAGGTATCCTTTGGCTAAGGAGATCCCTGAAGCTCTAGTGTAGAAAGGTGAGGTGAATCATCATGGAAAGTAACATTCTCTGTGTCTCCTTAAAAAGAAGGAAAAAGATCTTAAAAGGAAAATTGACCTAGCAAATACAAATTCATTAAGTCATACACTATGACAATTACAGTATTTCTTAACAGAGGGGTGTATATGAGAGAGTATTTATTGACTTTGGATTTCAGTAAGGATTAGTAATCTTTGTATTAACTAGTGTTAATGTTGGAAACAGGGAAAACTCACATGGCACAGAAACTGTTCTGTGATGATAAATACAAGCACAAACATTTTGATAGAGTTTTTTTGTATCTCTTGTAGGTAAATGGAGTAGATCTAAAAGCAGCAACCCATGAACAGGCAGCAGCAGCGCTGAAGAATGCAGGTCAAGCAGTAACTATCGTAGCTCAGTACCGTCCAGAAGGTAAGGGTTACCTTATACATTCAGAACTTGGTAGAAATACCATGTTGTTACTTTTGTCTTTACCCTTTTATTTGGTGGTTTTATTTTCCTTAGTGGTAGGAGGACAAAAGACTAATTCCTTCTCTGTTGTAGATGACCTAAGGAGACCATCAGGTTTTCATTCCTCTGTTTTATACTGAGCTGGTATTTCTGTTTATCCAGCAATTTCTTCTGGTCCAGATTAGACTGCAGCTGATGCCTATTAACCATCCTTATGTGTTCTGCAGAAGCCAAATAATACTGCCTCATCACAAGACACATTTGTTCTCTTGTGTTTCTGCAGCACATTTGAAATGCCTTTGTCTATTTGAGATTTTAAAAATTCAGTAGTCTAAAATTATATGCTTACTTTGGGTCTGTAAACACATATATTATTGTGTTTATATATAATAAGACATTTTGGTCTCTTACTGTGAACTGTGATGATAAACAGCTTTCTCCGATTTTGCTAATTTGGATGGCCCATCACTAAATCTTCCTTGCAGTGACTTGTCTGCTTAAACCTTTCCTTTAACAGTACTGGCAAGGGTAAGTGTAGGTGTTTATCAAGACTGGATATTGAGCAGGACTGCTGCCTTCATCTGAAATTTTTTAGGTAACTGACTGCAGCACACTTTTCTTCATTTATTTCTTCTCTTCTATCATCTTTCTCTTATCCTGTCCTCCCCAAGTCTTTGAAATGTTAGCTTTCACATTCCCCTCCTCCTCCACTCGCATCAACATCATGTATCTCCACTGACCGAGGAACTCTGTCAGTAATAAGGCCAACCAATTTGTTTGTGTCTAGTTCATGGTCGAATCCCTGAAGCCAGCCAGTGTTCCCAATGCCAGTATTGTCCTGAGAGGGTGTGCATCCTGATCACGTGTTGAATCTGTAGATTGCTCTGTGCCAGGATTCGTGTTCTAGGAATGCTCACCGTGAGAATTCCTTTTAGGAAGAAGAGTAAGGTCAGCATTGGGTCTGGAATATTTGCTTTGGCTTTGTGTCAGAATTGTCAAATATTTCTGTTGATACACATTTGGCCTATGCTCTGCTTAGCTCTTCAGTGTTGTAACAGGTGGGTCAGCCTGTTACACCTTCTTGCTCCTTGCATAGGGATCCCTTACTTTAGTGAGAAATAAAACTTGTGGTTTTATTTGCCCGTAAGTTGTCCTTTGAGCATCTGTCCACTCTTTTGTTCAAAGAGGCATTCTTGATCGCTACTTCTTTTGCCAGGAAGGTATGTTGCGATGTGGCTGCTGGTAGCAGAACAAATGTTTCTCTGGGAGAATATATCCCAGAACAGAACTGCTTTCCCTGTCCGTCCGTTCCCCCGCCCGTTGCCAAAAAATGTATCCAGACTTCATGCAAAAGCAGTAGTTTTTCAATCCTCTCTTCTTGCGATTCAGGCTTTAAAAAGAAAAGAATCCAGTCATACTCTGAAAGTTGGAGCTTTCTTTTCCTAGGCATTTTGAATGGTTCCTGCTCTTTCTGCACTGGAAATAACGGCTTTCTTCGCTACCACTTGTCCAAGTAGATAACTTAATTTCTTGAAACATGTATGGAGGTGCTTGACTGACTGATGGGATTTTGAGTCATTGCCCAGAGATTTGCCCAGAGCAACATATGCTGCCTCTTAGAAATTTCTCAACGCCTGTCACTTGTAGACTTCAAACCTAGAGCTGTACTCAGTCTTTCATGACTACTGAAGCATTCAGAACAAGACTGCATGCATTTGAGCTGTATTGAGAGTGTGGTTCTCAAAGAATTATAGGGCCCATTTGAGAGACTGCATGTAGGAGATGTTACGTGAATTATCGCAGATTATGGGCAGACATCTGACCCATTATTCAAAGAAAGGTTTGTATTATATTTTGGTCTGCGTGACCATCTGTCTTGCAGAAATAGTGCTTAAAATCTCCATTTAGAGTGAAGAAGTTGGAACCACGTTAGGGCTTACTCTCCCCTTTTGAAGTATGCCATGAAGAAAAACTGTAACTAGGAGACAGAGATCCAATCTAGTTTGGAGGCAAAGTATGAATTGACACATGGCCAACCTACCTCAGAAAGCTCAAGTTACTACTGTCAGACTGTTTCACATCTCTGCTTGCCTTTTTCTTACTCCTTGTAAAAAGAGGTTGAATAGCACTCCAGCTGTCAGCTTTTTTCAGTCTGGTGTGGAAGGTAAGTTGAATCAGATATTCACTGTTCATATCTTAGAGATTAGTAAAGGGAATATTTCCTTGAAGAGTACTGTTTAGTATCAGAGGAAAGCAGTCTGTTTGAAATTTGACTTTTGAAACATAAAATATCATCCGTGTGATTGAGTGTACTTGGTAAAAGTGTGTATGTTCTTTGATCATCTTCAGATTTCCTACATTATAGCTGTGGATGGTCATGTTTTCCCCTCACTTGATTCATTTAAGCTGGCGAATTTCATTTTTATGTATATATAATTATCTCTACTTTTTGTTTATGCCATTCAAAAAAAGGTTAACCATTATTAAAATGAAGAGTTCATAAAAGTATTGTTCATCATTGGTGTTTCTCAAATGTTTTGATAAAGATGAAGAGCATCAGTTATAACTGCTTGTATTGCATACGTATTATATTTATATTTATAAATCCAGCAGGATTTTGTAAAAGATGCTGACAGCTAGGGCAGATCAAGGAGACTCTAGACATCCATCAGGGCTCATTATAACTGGATAAATAGATTTGGTATGATAGGAGCATTTGGAAGACACTTGGGACCAGCTCACCTCACTCTCTGTAATTGTATATGACTGTATGTTCATAGGTGTGATAGGGAATGCTAATTTATGTTTTTTATATCCTACCACATTAACTCTATCAGAAATTCCCTGTTTGTCTTTCACCTCAGATTTCTGGGAAAAGAGGATTCTTTCAAGCAGAAACAGAAAAGCCTGAGTAGGCTGTAGAAAAAAATTAATCTTCGGAAACCCTTTATCATGGAAAGGGTTGAATTTTCTGATTCTCTCACTTCAAATCCAATTAGACAACATGGTTTATCAAACAGTAGTTACTGGACGTATGGGGCAGACTAATATGATACTGCTTTTCTTATATCCAGGCTCAAATTACATAACTGCTGACTTTTTTTTTCCCCCTTAAATCTCCAAAATGTTCCTTGGTTATAAAACCGGGTGAAAACAGATGTGATCTCATTCCTAAAAATATCCTTCTGGGCATTCATTTAGTTTCCAGCAATGTTCAGTAAATTTGAGAGATGCCTCCTGCTATACTGAATCGGGTTTCAGCAACTTACCTGTGCTCTTTGAGATAGCTGAAAGCCAAATAAGGAATGTGAAGGTATTCTGCTGTTAACAAATGGGACTTGCGCATCAGGTACCACTTTTGTATTGCCACAGTTGTAGTCAATTGGCTTCTGCTTTCTCCTTGTAGATTCCACATTTTATCTTGCAACTTATCTAGGAGATGTAGTTGTAACCTGTTGAGTCACCTCAACAGGTTCTACTTGTACATACTTTTGTGGTACGGACACAGACACGTGTGTATACAAAATCTCCCTAGTTACAGAGGACACTGGGTTTGAACCTGCTGAGGCTGGATGCTGCAGAGGAGAGGTCCATGGTAGGAGGAGAAGAGCAGAAGTTTGGGAAATGGGAATTATCCTGTAGAATTGTGGTGGGCAAGTCAGGATGTCATTCTTATTTTCCTCTTTGTTTGGAAGCTTTTCCTTATTCCCCCACCTGTACTACAAATTTCTATCTCCTTTTGAGATATTAATTTGTTTTGCCATGAGTTCCACTGGAAATGAAGTACCATGACCTGCAGCAGTTTTAAAGAAGGTGATGTTGCTGCAGTACACAAAAGCATTTTCATTTGTAGACGTTTCTGAGCCATTTCATTTTCCTGTTGCTCCCTGACTCTGCAGACACACCTCCGTGCCACACTGCCGTCTCCCTTCTTTGGGTTTTCTGCAGATGTAGAGTGGCAAGGAAAAATTGTCATATTAGTGCAGAAGAATGAGAGGAAGCTCTAGGCAATTTATATATATATATCTATCTATCTCCTGGGAGTGGGGATTCAGAGATGGTCGGAATTGTATCCATGCTACGTAGCAGGGATACAGGAGCATGAGAGTCTTGGTGCTTGAAAGGAATGTAGTGAGGGGAGGAGCAGCAAGGAGGAAGTATAGGACTGTCCAGAGGTGCACAGCTGTTGGAGAGCTCTCCCGTCATTTCACATTGACATTTCCATTGTTGTGTCCATTCAAATTAACAGGTCATCCAAAACATTCTTATGTGTATTGAGGCTGACATAATAATAGTACTACCTCAAAATTCAGAATTTCTGAAAGGTGAGATTTTGCCATTTTGAAAAGGTATGAGGTGCCGGTAGGCTACCATAATTGTCTTATAGCTTGAGTGCATTTAAGTGTTTGAAAATAAGAAAAACAGCCAAAAAGTACGAAAATATGTTTGATTGAAATTGGATAGAAAATAATTTTGTGGATTAAATTATTTTTGTTTCTCAAGGACCCACCTGACATACGAAAAACACCCTATAACTTTAACTAGCACGGCAGTCTCTTTTCATGAGTTATCAGCTGCCTGTTATTTAGAATTTAGAATCTACATTGATCTTCTCTTTGTAATTCAGCTGATCTAGTCCATCTCTATATATCCATTTCTTTTCTGGAAGTAGTAAGATGTTTAAGTGATCAGAGTAGCTCCATGTACTTAGATGATTGGGTAGATCAGTGTAAGATTAGGAGAAAGTGGAGCCAAAACCTCAAGATTTTAAGGTATTTTTTAAAAAACCTCTGCTTGTGAACATACATTGTTCATATAGGCAGTTAATACACATTTTTCTCTCAGCTTTATTGAAGGAACCAAGTGGTTCTCCATTGTAAAATGTATTCAAGATGTATGGTTCAATTAAAACTCCTCATACTTTGTTAGCCAGATTTTTAGATGAATTTTCATGGATTTTT